AAAAAAAAAAAAAAAAAAAAAAAAAAACACAAATACAATTCAGTTTCCTACACGAGAAAGCCAATGAGAATGTAATCAACCCAACATGATTCCTCATGACCAATCGAAGCCTCGAGATTGCAATTAGATAAAATTTACCTGTCTTGCCAGCTTTCTGTAAGCAGCTTTAATTTCCTTGGTGCTGGCAGATTTTAGCACCCCAAGCGTGGAGTAGTAATCAGCTGCGGCGAAGACCACAGTCGCTCTCCGAAACCTACGCGCGTTCATTTTCTTACTCGAATGAATCGAAGGAGAGAGAGAAAGTCGCTGAAACTTTTCATGGCCGCCCCACGCGGAGGTCCCACCAGTTGAGAAGCAAGATGAGGAAGAGCTCAGCGGAGTGATTGAACTGCTCTGTCTATGCGGCGTTGAGGTCAAGGAAGAAGGGACGAACAGCGAGGAGGCGGCAGCGGCGGTGGCGGCCATTGCAGATTAGATTTGTGGAATGTTACCTAAAAAGGAAAAGGAGGGTAGAAGTTCAGAGGAGATTATTGTTCGAGTTTTTGGATTAACTGCATCCTGTTGATGAATGCTCATTTCAATTGGAGAATGCCAACAAGTTTTGGATTTCTGCTCATTGTTTTCCTGGTCTTCCGAGTTTTAGCTCTGCTGCTTCGAATTTTTTAATTTCGTTTTTTTTTTTNNNNCCATTGCAGATTAGATTTGTGGAATGTTACCTAAAAAGGAAAAGGAGGGTAGAAGTTCAGAGGAGATTATTGTTCGAGTTTCTGGATTAACTGCATCCTGTTGATGAATGCTCATTTCAATTGGAGAATGCCGACAAGTTTTAGATTTCTGCTCATTGTTTTCCTGGTCTTTCGAGTTTTAGCTCTGCTGCTTCGAATTTTTTAATTTCGTTTTTTTTTTCTATTATTATTTCTTTTTTGTTTTCCCCTTTTTGTGTGGGCGTGGAGATTGGAAGGTAGAAATTAGGCAAAACATGGTGCTATTTACCGCACTCTTGTTACTAGATATTACTCTTTTTTTTTTTTTT